CCCTCCCTGCCCTGGCGTTCCCACCATACAGCAGGCCCCTCCCTCTCTCCACCCAGACCCACCTGAACTCCCATCTACCTCACTTCCTAACCCCCAGACCCTGCTGCCACCTAGATAGTAGAGGCTGCCCTGAGCTCTCTCTCTCTGGGGCAAATATGGCTCCTCTAATAAACCTTATAATAAGGTTTATTATGCCTCTGTGTGGTCCCCTGGGATGGATGTGACAGATCCTTTCACCATTCACTCTACTGCTCAGGAAGCCAAGATCTGAGAATTACCATTCTAGGCCAGCCTAGACAGGAAAGTCTATGAGACGCTTATCTCCAATTAAGCACAAAAAGCCAGAAGTAGAGCTGTGGTTTATGTGGTAGAATGCCAGCACCACCCAGGCTGTGAATTCAAGCCCCAATCCTGGCACCAAAACTTTTTTAAAAAATGGAGTCACAGGTATGTGCTTTGGACCCTACCCCTGGGGCTGATGGGAATCTGTTCTCATATTTCAATGTTGCTCCCACAGCATGGCCCACTGACCATCCCCACCTGCCCAAAATTCTTCAGCCTGGAATCTTATGTTGTTGGTGGTGGTGGTTGTGGGGCTTGAACTCTGGGCCTGGGCGCTGTCCCTCAGCTGTTCAGCTCAAGGCTAGCGCTCTACCACTTGAGCCACCACTTCTGGTTTTCTGAGTGGCTTATTGGAGATAAGTCTCATGGACTTAACTGCCCTGGCTGGCTTTGAACCACGATCCTCAGATCTCAGCCTCCTGAGTAGTTAGGATTACAGGCATGAGCCACTGGCGCTGGGCTTCAGCAGAGAATCTTAATCTAAACATGTGAAAGCCCACCGGTGAGTTCCCCCTTGCAAGCCATACCTGGCAGAGCCATTAACCTACACCGTAGATCGCTGGAACCAGGCCCATTCAGGCAATTACTATGAACTCTCAAAGCACCTCAGGAAACTCCCTGCAACTCTCCACACATCTAAGACCCTACTTTAGTCCCTCCTGCCCCTGCTAGGATCCATCAGGACCATCCTAGGGGACCACAAGGAGCAGGCAGGCACAGGAGAAAGATTATTATAAGGTTTATTAGAGGGGCCACATCTCCCCTGGGATAGGGAGCATTATGGTATCTGCCCCTGTCCAGGTGGGTAGCTCTGGGACCAGTCTCTAATGCAAAGTAGGTCTGGGTGGAAGAGAGGGAGCGGCCAGCTCCATGGGGGTGGCTCTAGGGCAGGGGAGAGCTCAGGTCTGGGTGGAGCTGAGGACCTGAGGTGAGGCTAATGCTAACAGCCCCTAGGGCACCACCTGTGTAGCTAGCTCCTCATTCTCCTCTGGTGTTCACGATGTTCCTCTTCAACTTTCCATTAAAGTGGATCTTGTCTGTTTTCTGCTCTTCTAATATCCTCCTGACTGTTTCCTAACTGGAACCACCCCCCTAGATACTAGCTGCCACCTTTCTAGATTTTCTCTCAGCCCATTTGATTGGCTCTGATGCAGTCATGAACTTGAACTGCTGAGCAGCAAGGTAGGGAGGTGTCTGCCATGGGAAATGGGACCCTAATTCTCACTGCAGGAAGTCTTCCCTCCCCCACCCCCAAAGAGATGGGTTCCAAAAAGCTGTGTAACCAAAACAACACACAAGCCTCTCCACCCTCACCTGGGTAGGAGATTGTAGTCAACAACATCATTTTTATGATATTTAATTTTTAAGTATGTTTTATTAGGCATAGCTTTGTCAGTAATTTTCTTCTAACCTCTGGGTAACTGTGACTTTCTGTTCAATATGCTACAGATTCACCATATTTGGGTGTTCCTGTGTTCTGCTTAGGACTCATTGAACTTATTTATGTCTAATTCTTCACTAATTCTTTCACTTTAGTTATGTCTAGTCTGATATTTAACTCATCCTTTTTATTTCTTTATTTGGATTGAACTTGAAGCATTCTGCTTGCTTGACAAGTGTTCCATCTATACTCCTAGTCTATTTTTTAAGTTCTTTCTCAGATAGGGTTTTATGCTTTTGTCCAGGGCTGGCCTTGGATGCCATCCCAAATAGCTTGGGGTTAGGATTACAGACGTGTACTACCTAGGCCCTACTCACTGTTAGGAAAATGGAGGAGAACAGAAAAGGAATAGACCAGTCTCTGTCTTCAACAGGGTAGGAGTGTTGATTGCCAGCGAGGGCACAGACCTTCCTGCAGGTTTAGAGGTTGTAGGAGGGACTGGATCCAGGTTTATGTAGGTCTGAACAAGGAAGCAGAAAATTAAAAAAAAAAAAAAATGGGCTGTGGTCTTTTAGGGGACAAGGGCACTGGGGACAGGTCCAGAGTAGAATGCTCTGCCTGGGGTGAGCTAAGCCAAGGTTAGAGACCTGCCTGTGTACACGCATGTGAGCAGATACCTGGTGCTTTGCTTGACATGAGAGAATAAGATGGGAGTCAATCCCTCATTCACATCTATTTTTTTTAATCTTTGTTTTTTACCATGATATTTTGGCCTTATGGTTTCTAGTTGTTGGTTTTTTAAATTTACTAGTACTAGGTCTTGATCTCAGGATCACCTCCTTCTCTCTTAGCTTTTCTTATACAGGAACGATCAGCAAGATACAGAGAAGCCACATTTTGAGAGGTGGAATAGAGAGTCTTCATTAGAAAGCCTGGGGCTGCAAGGGAACTTGCTGCCCAAAAACTTACAGCCCAGTGTAACTAGCACAAAGCTTATAAAGGCAAAAACCACAAGATCGGCGTGAGGAAGGAGACCTAACCTTTGCTTTGTGTTATACATAAGCAAAGCAAGTTATTTAGTGTGAACAATGAGGGCAATCAAAAGCAGTATTCTCTGGAGCTAAACTACACGACACATCTGCAAGTCCAAGAATGACCTATTTCACCTCTAGAGTTTTCAGAAGTCTCCACATGGCAACTAGGAGAAGATGGTATTACTTACTCAGTATCCATATTTCACTTTTTTACTCTATCTCTTGGGCCATACCTCCCCTTCCACCTTTTTGCTGACTTATTTGCAGATAAGAGCTGGCTTTGAATATGAATCCGCAGATCTCAGCCTCCTGAGTAACTAGGATTACAGGCATGAACCTGTAACCACCCAGATTAGCCCTTGTTTTATCTCGGCCATTATTTTAGGTACTCTTCCTTTGTAGCCTCATCCAAAGATGACTCTTAACCTGGAGTCCTCTCTCTCCAACTCCCCTCTTGACAGGGTTTGTTTCTCTGTGGAGGATGGTTCATGTTGGTTGAGGCATTATTTTTAGCAGGCGGTTTTTGCCTTGCCACGCAATGGTGGTTTATACTGAGAGTTCTTGGCTCTCGGAAAACTTGCCTCCAGTGTGGTTTTTCATGAGTATTTGAAGCTATAGCTTGAGTGGTTGGGTGAGGTGAAGTAAGGTGGGCAGGTGGGCAGAATGAGTAACTTTAAAATGAACACACCCTCAAAAAGTTGGCCTGAATCTTTCGTTCTAGCATAGGTCACTGACCTGGTTTTTCTGTTTGTCTCTTTTCCTTACAAACATCATGATTCAGGGCCAGGAAGTCCAGAAATGCAAATATGAAAGTCCAGTTCAAGTGGGCGTTGACGGGGCAAGGGTAGCCTACCCACGATCAAGGCTCAGTATTCACTGATGTCTATTTACAAGAAAACCTTTTCTCCAAAGCCTTCACCTTCCCATCTTCACCCCTACCCCCACATCTCTCTGGCCTCTCTAGAACTCTCGGACACGATTAACAGATGGATGAATCCTTTAGAATCAAGACTCTATCACTCTAGCTCAGAAACTTTCAAATGCTCAGTGTGCCTCCAGTAGAAAGTCTACACCACTGTGGATGGCATTCTGGGTCATCCATTTTGTGACTCTCTCCCATCTCTTCATTCCAACAGAGCTCCTCTCTCCCTCTCCTGTCGCCCTGTCGCTTCTCTAACTCCAGTGGTACCTATCGGTCCCCTGACATTCATATTCTGAATTGCATTTGAGCTACTTGTGTTCACTTCTCACACCACTCAGTGGATGTTTTTGGAGGATAGAATGGAATCTCTTTGTATTCATTTCGTTATCTTCCATGGGACCAGGCAAAAGGCATGTCAAGGAAGAGCTATTCTGACCCTTAAGCTTTTCCCAGGCCTCTTGATGTGGATTAGGTTAGGCCAGGTTGGTGACTTATGACTTACACAGGTACCTGAGCTTTTAGCAGATTCTGCCTAGCTTCAGAGTCATTGCTTTAGTGCAAGCAAAAGAGCTCAGCAATAGAGCTCAACAATAGCAGGAGTACAAAGCTAGTTAGCAGGCCCCCACATTGTGTCTCCCTCCACCCCATTCCTGAGCCCCTTGGTAGGGCTCTGCTCTGTAGCACTTTATTCTCCTGACCTACCACATATCTTTAAAAGCCCATGCAGTTCCTGGATGGGTCCATGTTTGAAACTGAATCCTGCCTGGCACAGTCAATTGTAAAAGGCAATACCATCTGGTAGGCATCTTGTCAGTGCATAACACTTATCTGTATGACTTGGAGTCTGTTCATGTCAACAGGGAATCAGGAGTGACCCCCAGAATGGGCAGAGGAGAGTACAGGAAACACTCTTGGAAACTTGAGAGACCACTGGTAGTGGAATTGTGGGTAACCATGTGTCACAGCTGTCCCTTGTAACGTGGCTGGTCTGGGACAAACTCTTGTGGGTAGTTATTGTGTGTGTGTGTGTGTGTGTGTGTGTGTGTGTGCGCGCGCGCGTGCACACATGTGCGCGTGCTTGCGTACATGCATAAGAGCCTGAGTGCTGTCCCTGAACTTTTGGCCAAGGCTAGTACCCTATTACTTCCAGCTTGTTGATAGTTAAAGTCAAGAGTCTTGTGGACTTTCTCGCCTGGGCTGGCTTTGAACCATGATCCTCAAATCTCAGCCTCCTGAGTAGCTGCCAGGATTGCAGATGTGAATCACCAGCACCCAGTTTGTAAGTTTTTAAATCAAGGGACCTCTCAATCTTCTCCAACAGATTACAACAGCAGTGAACTGAAAACGGCCTGCAGGAAGCATGAGCTTTATGTGAGTTTCCAAGACCTAGGATGGCAGGTGAGTTCTTGGCCATGAGGGCAAAGGTTCTGAGTAGTTCGTTCTCACCGGATAGCTGCTGTTAGTAAGGACCTGGAGCTTCAGGGCTAAGATGGTTACCTCCAGGGATGCCCTCAGCACCCACAAATGCTCAGACTGCTGGGGCGTCAGAGAAAGCCTCGCCTGCTAGTGTAACAAGCGCTTTTCTTGGCGTCCCAGGCTCTGAGACTCTCATGGTCAGTACTTATATCCTCTAACACTCTTACCTCATTCTTTCAAAGCTACAGGTCATATAAGATGGGTATATAATACAATTTCTGCCATTGTATCATCTGCAACTATACAGATTTATTTGGACACTAAACCAATTTTGTTTCAACATTTTGAAAAAAACACCAATTTCTCCAGTGGCTAAAAATTAGCTCAACCTATACAGAACACAAATGTTTTGCTTCCTATCTGACAGGTACCACTAGTTTGTATGAAGCAAATTCAACTAAGGATGATAAATGATGGAATTCTGTCCTTTTTCCTTACCTTTTTTTTCTTCCTCCATCTTTTTTTCCTTTCTTCTTCCTTCTCTTGCCTCCTTTTTTCCCCTCTGCCTTTTTTTTTTTCTTTTGCAATACTGAGGATAGAACCCAGGTCCTTTACAATGCCAGGCAAGCACTCTACCATTGAACTACATTCCTATCCCAGAAGATCATTTCTATATGCAAGTGAGTTGACAAGAACGCCATAAGCTCCTACAGAGATCTTTGGGCCCAAATACATAGTCCCTAACTTACAATGGGTTGACTTAGGATTTTTTTTCACATTTATGATGGAACCAAAGCAATATACATTCAATGGAAAAAATATTATTCCTTTCAATCTCGAACTTGCCTTGAACTAGTGATATACAGATCCTCTCCGGAGATGGCGGTAAGTGCAGCTCCCACTCACTGCGCTGCTGAGTTTGGGTGTCGGCGAAGCAAGATGTGTTGGAAAGTTTTCATGTCATGTGGCATTAGGCTGTAACCCTAAGTTAATCATAAAGCTAGCCACTTGCAGTCCCAGGTGCTAAGTCCACGTGGATCTGCAGGGACAGGGACAAGGAATCAGACCCGAACTCCACACCCCAGCTTTGCCAGTCGCTTGTAAACTTGGACAAATGCTTGTCTCCTTGCACCTGTCTGGCCACCTGTCCACGATGCTCCCTCCTCACGGGGTTCCTGGGAGCAGAGGCAGTAGGAGTGTGCTGACCTTTTGCTGCTTCCTGTGCTTGCATGTCAAGGACTGGATCATCGCACCGAAGGGCTACGCTGCCAACTACTGTGACGGGGAGTGCTCCTTCCCGCTCAACGCCCACATGAACGCCACCAACCACGCCATCGTGCAGACCCTGGTGAGCTCTGGGGTGCAGTTCTAAGTGGGAATCCAGCCCCAGCCACGCATCATTAATAATGCTTCCCTTTCCCCTTCTGTTCTGGACCAGGTTCACCTTATGAATCCTGAGTATGTCCCCAAACCGTGCTGCGCACCAACCAAACTGAACGCCATCTCAGTTCTTTACTTTGATGACAACTCCAATGTCATCCTGAAAAAATACAGGAATATGGTCGTAAGAGCTTGTGGATGCCATTAAGTAGAAGCGTCACTGGGGACACCTGTTCCACTCGGATTCCTGTACTCACCTGCCTTACCAGCCATACAAGCACAGTGGAAATGGGACAGAGGCCAAAACCACCTCCCGCCGGTGCCTTATTGCCCAATGAAGATTTTTAGATCTCATTAATGAAATCCTTTTCACTAGGTAAAAAAGATCTCATTAATGAGATCCTTTTCACTAGGTAAAAAACTGCGAGTGAGTAGTTACGTGTCTGTAAGAAACTGAGTTTGGACATTTGCAGTATGAGGTCTCAGTAATGCACAAATAGTGAATGCCACCACCACTCCCAAATTAGTTTTAGCTTTAATTTAGATCAAGCTATTCATAGTATTAATGATCTTGAAGGGTGGACTTGTCACAGAGGAGGGGGTGGTGTTCCTGTTCATAGATCTCATGCCAGGAAGGATAGTTTCACACAGCCTGGACTGTAAGCAGGCTCTAGAAGTGCCTTTTTGTCTATCTGTGGCTACATTTGTGCTGGAGTTGTATTAGTATAAAATAGCATAAAACTATTCAGTCCAAACAACCCATGTCCACACCTCCCCCTTCCCACAGTTGTATTGTTAGGACCCAAAGTGGCACAGTTGCTGGGGAAGGAGATGGGGGAAGGCAGTGGCCTTCAGTTTACCAGGTAGTGTGAAAAGCAGTGCTACACCTCTTCATGGGACTGGCTCTGAGAAGCACCCAGTCTAGTTCACTCACACAGCCTTCTGCCTCTTAGTGTACAGTAGCTACCCACGCTGCAGGGTTACCAGTGGGGAAAGGGCACCCTGCCTCCACAAGGGCTAAAGCCACGCGTGTGCTGTTTATGAACCAGAATCACAATGTCTCTTGTAGAAAGCAAGGCTCAGATGAAATCTTTAGAATATTTTTTAAAAGTCTTTCTCACAATCATGTACTGGGAAACCAATTTCATACTAAACTGATTAAATACGTTTATAATCTATTTGCACTTACAGCTTTTTTTTTTTGTAAATAGAAGCTATAATTTATTATTTTATACCCATCTGTAACATTTAAAGACCAGACTTTTTCTTTAAAAAAAGTTTATTTAGAAAGTATAGTGTAAACAAAATTGTACCACTTTGATTTTCTTTCAATACAAGATTCCTGATGCAAAGCTGACGCCATTCACAATGGTGGGCTCCTCCGGCAGAACACTGCTTTTCTTTTTAAAAGGACATCTGTGAACCAGGTATAATAAAGGTTTGTTGAGGGTGGAGAAGTGTGAACTGCTGTTACCTTCTGCCTCAGACAGTACACTGGTCTGGTTTCTGAGTCCTTCCGCAGCCTGTGCATGTGGGGTGTGAAGGGCGCTGGACAGAGCGGCCATGATGAACAGCGATTCCCTGGGGTCCACAGCTTAACCTTAGTCCAACAGATGCAACACTCAAGGATGGCATGAATTAGGACAGAAGCATCAGCCCATCACTGCAGAATTCAGTCTTTGGTCTTGAGGTCAAATGAATCCTATTCACATATTAGAAGGTCAAGCTCCTTGGAGATGGACAGAATACAAGTGAGCTTTCTAGAAGGACGGACTTGGGAACAAATCAGAAATGATTTCTATCAGGTTCCCAGAGAGATGTGTGGTGTCTCTGGTATACAGGCCTGGAAAAACCATCTGGCACTGCACTCATGGCAAATTCAGGCAGAATCTTTTGCCGAGTTTATACATAATAGAGGACCTGCCTCGTGGGACTCTCATAGCCCCACTTTCTACAGACAAGGTAATCGTGTTCACAATGAGCAGATCAATCTCTCACTGCACGTGAAGCCACAAAGGATCGTGACAGCGTCTGATCTGATCACACAGTATCTTCTATAAGTTGTGGCTTTGTTTTGAAATCTCCAAACTCTAGCCCAAGCATGTGATTAGGTCGGTGCGGCCTTCAGATCACAGAAACATCAATAGTGCCTCTAGGGCAGCTTTCCAGAACTCATGAGTTCAGAATACTGCTCTTTAAACGCTGCTTTTGCCAAAAATAGTTCCGCATTTGACTTGACTCCTTTTGGCTCAAAGGAAACCACTTAATTTGTCAAGAGAAGACTGAAAGGGGGGGGGGGGGGGTCTCCCTGACAAACACTTAGTTTGCACAGTGAACCTAGAGTTATGAGAGAAACTTAGGAATCTTAGTGTGTTGTCCTAAACACACAGGTAGAAGATACTATGAATTTAGTACATTTAGCTTTCTGGAAAACCATCTGAAACGCAGACATCTGTATGTAGGAGTCCACACCCTGGGTCCCAGAGACCAGGCAGGACAGGTAACATCCAGCAGGCTTGTCTATAGTTCATCCTTCGCCTGACGCAGAACGAAGCGGTGCAGGGAGTCCAGGTCTCTGCCCCCACTGTGCTCACCGACCTTCTCACCCCCGCGGAAAAGCAGCAATGTGGGATACCCCCGCACCTTCAAGAGAAAGAAAAGCACATGCAGACCATTCCTTGAAAACAACCTCCTGTAGCTGAGGCTGGAAAATTTGCAGCTGACTTCTGAAGATGCTTAGACAACATAAAATTAATGCACTGAAGCTTGGGCTAGTCACTGTGACTCTTTCTACCTCTAATAGGCTTACTTACACAGGAAATAGGCTGAACATGCACATCTGCGATACCTTACACTTCTAATCCCAACTATTTGAGGACTGAAGATTGCTAGCAGTCTCCATCTCAATGAACAAGCTGGGCATGATGACTGTAATACCAGCTATGTGGAAGGTAAGGTATAAGGATCAACATCTACAGCTTGCCCCATGCAAAACTAAAAGATTAAACAAAAGCAACTGAGCACCAGTGGCTCACACCTGTAATTCTAGCTCCTCTAGAGGCTGAGGATTGTGGTTGAAGCAAGCCTGGGCAGAAAGGTCAGTAAGACTCTTAACTCTAAGCACTACAAAAGCTGGAAGTGGAGCTGTGGCTCAAGTGGTAGAACACTAGTCTTGAGCAAAAAAACAAAACAAAACTCAAGGACAATGTCCTGCTGAGTTCAAGCCCTGAGCTGGCAAAATAAAGCAGGAAAGGGGATCAGGATGTGAATCAAGTGGTAGACTTCAACTGCAGACTGTGAGCAAGGGCAGCGACCAGCTCTGTGCATGGTGGGCAGGTCCTCAATGGATTTTCACAAATGACAACTACAGGCCACCTGTGTGTGTGAACAGCACAGGGAGAACGCATAGTTGAAGGAATGGCCCAACCACTGGCACTCTGGCAAGGTCAGGCTCACAGGTGCCTTTGCTTAGGGTGCTGGCTCTTGTGAGCCCTCCTGCACCCCTCAGGGATCTATGGCCACAGTTCTGGGGCAGTGACAGCAGCTCGGCCTAGCTCAGCCCACAGTCTGCATGGAAACATCTGGTGAGTACTTAGAATGCTACCTCGCAGAGTCTCTTCTGCTTCTGAAAACCACACAGCTCAAAGCTTTGTTGGAAGATGAGAAGTGGCAACCTCGGTCTTACAGTCCCGAGTGTCCCGGGCACAGTCCCGCCCCCCGCCCAGGTACCCACCGAGTACTTGCTGCAGACATTCCGCTCAGCTGTACAGTCCACTTCTGCGATCTTGACCTCTGCCAATCCAGGGAAGTCCTTCCTGGAGAGCTCCTCCCAGGTAGGTGCCAGGTTCTTACAGTGGCCACACCTGGGAACAGACAGTGACCGTGCTGTGAAGCATGGGAAACATGCTGTGATGGGGGCACTCGGACAAAACCGCCACTCACCATGGTGCATAGAACTTGATGAAAGTTATTCCTTCTGCAATGGTGGCATCAAAGTTCTTTTCAGTGAGGGCCAGCACTGCACCCTTCAGGGAGGAAGGAGAAGGCCAGGTTCAAATACATCACTTGAGGCACGAGAAATACCATGTTCCAGGAACCACATACAGTGCCTGTCTTGCTCCAAAGTCACTTGCATTGCACAAGCCACGCACGAGGCAGCTGCAGCCCGTGGAGCTGCTGCGATGGGCGTACAGGACACTCACTGTACAACTGTGCCTTTCTTGTGGGACACTGCAGCATGGGGACAGTGGGTGTTTTACATAACACAGGCTGCTTCCCATTCCTACATCCCAAGTAAGAAAAATGTTCTTCCAAGCTCCAGATGGGGAATCTTTGCACAGGATCCAAAGCAGTTTGCTTTAAACAAAGTTTCTCTCACAGGATTGTGCCTGTGGGTTCCTACACAGCTGGGCCTGCGATCCTCTCTGAGATGGTGGGCACCTTGTCTCGTGACGCCTCGCCACATGCTGCGCTCAGGGTTCTCAGGCCAGGTGGGGCCCCTGTACAACAGTACTGCCCTTCTTTACATCCAGAAATGCGCCACGCACTCACCGAGGCCACTTCATGGTGGAAAGCCTCATTATAAATAGAAAGGGTTGTGTGATGAAAACATCTGACATGTAATGGCCTGCAGTTTGGGCTGACCTTCAATAACCACCACACAGAGCTGCGGGATCGTTTGTTGAAAGCAAATGAGCTGTTAACACCCAGGCTGTCCCCACTGTACGAAGGCGCAACGGGGAGTGGGCTGTTGGGACAAGGGGGCTCCCTGCTGCATTTTCCACTTCCAAACCAGAACTCCAGTGAGTGGCGAGCAAGCAGCGCTGAGGGCTAGTAGCTGGGAAACGAGCCTCTGATGTCCTGGGGGAGACACGCCAACTACCCTTGACTAATGTCACCTGCAGCGCAAAGCTACCCGCCTATGCAGATCTGCAATGCTCCACACTGCGACACACTCTCCCCTAAGCACCCTCATCTTGAAACCAAACTACACCTTCTTCCTTCGTGAGTCCTTACCTGTAGAACCACCTCTTTTCCTGCCCTCCCCTGCCTGACGTGCTCAGAAGAGCTGCATTCCATCTCCTTTCTCACCCTTCCTTCAGGTTCTGTCTTCCAGGGCCCAAGACAACAGTAGATCTGGCACAGCTGAAGGTCGCATCTCCAAACCTTCCAGGGGCTCCCCAGCCATCAGGACCAAGTTCTTGGCCCCTGGCTTCTTCCCTGCAGCTCCATCTGTCCCCATCTTTGCATCTTACACTGCGCTCCTTGGCCTGCTACCATCCCGCTGCATCCAGCATAGCTGCTGACAGCTCCCGGGCCTCCTCTGGGCCCAAACCGCTGCATCTCCCCACTTAACGTGACTTCTGTGCACACATGCTGTCACAGCCCGTGACACCTTCCCCTATACACTTGTACCTGGCACAGGCACGAAATGTGTTAGGTGTTTAGTCTTGTTTCCTGGTAGCACAGGCCAGTGGGTGAAATAAAACAAGGGCTTGGTTGAAACATGAAGCTACCTGAGTGAATGAAGACAGCAGGTTGGTACATCAGAAGCTCCCCTAGCAGATGAAATATATACACACGCGTGCACAACACCCCCAAATCAATCCTGTGGCCACACCCCATATTGTGCTAAGGTGAAGGAACCCTGGGCACTTGTGGTGTAGGCCGAATGGGGCTGGGCAGCAGCCAAAACTTCACAGCAAACTCCCTCACATTTATCACCCAGAGCAACTAGGTCCAAAAGGAAGGCTTCATGAGATTAGGAATGGGTTTTCTGTGTGCCTCGGGGTATGAGAAGGGACATTTGTATTTACCAAGGCCTTTCAGCATGTAAAATTAGACGAAGAACATGTTTTGGGTTCAGAAGGTAACTTAACGGCCCCTCTGTCCACAGGTGGGGTTGAGGACATTGTCCTCTCTCTGCAGGTGGGTGGGCAGTCGGGGCCACCCCTGTCATTCTCACCGAGGGCGGCAGGCACGTACCTTGTCACCTGCGGGCTCAGCAGCCAGCACTGGGGCCTCTGAGGGCGGGATGGTCTCTGGGGCTCCCACCTCTGGCCCCTGCAGCTGTGACTCGATGTAGTCTCTCAGCGACTCCAAGTCTCGCTTCCCTTTGTACTGATCCACCTGTGGGGGACATGGGCCATGTGGAGATGCTGCCCCCCTCACCTGCCGC